AACTACTAAATATAAAAATTTACAAAGCTACTATTTGTACCAGTACAAATAAAAATAAAAATTATATACAAGAATAAGAGCTTAAACAAAAAAAAATTTATCTGTAATCTAAACTTATTAGAGTGATTAAAGACTTACTTAGATTACTATAGTTAAAATATAATTTAAAAAATACTATATTTGGCCTAATAAATAGACTAAGTATTAATTTTCTTTCTGGCCTGATCAACCAGTAGACAGACTTCTATATATGAGTGAAGTTAATCTGATGATTTATATAAACAAAAATAAGTATATATTTTATATATATGATTAATATTTTTAGAGTATAAGTCTGAACTTGAATTTTTCAGATCTGAGTTGATAGTGTATTAAGTAGAATTAGATCTATTTTATGGATAAAATAGATATTGTTTTTTCTAGTTAGCAAAGTTTGTACAATAAGGTTTCTATAATTGTTCATATAGTTGTTTGTTAATTTTGAGCAGAAGATTAATTATAGTATTTGATACTATTTTGTAAAGAATACTATAGTTTTGAAGTATTTGGATTAAAGATTAGGAAATTAGACCTTTAAGAGTGGGCTCTATATAGTATGAATAGGTTTGAAAAGCTGTATTGTAGAATATCTCATATTTATGAACTTTTTAAATTAACTTCTCTAATTCATTGTTAGTTATATCAAATTCTGCTAAATGCAAATAGTCTGTAATAGTAGATAGAATTATTTGCTAAAGTAGAGTAGGATTAGTACAGGTATACCAGTATAATAGAAAGTTTTAAAAGCTACAATAAAAGTAGTTATTGTTATAAAAAAACTTAAGATATATAGAGTAGTAGAGTAAGTATATAGGGAGTTCATTAAGCAGTATTTACTTTTAAAGGATTTAAGTTAATTAAGTTTAAAGTTTGTAAAGTTGTTTGTAATTTTTTAGTTCTAATTAAAATAGAGCTATATAGATCTTTAATCTATTTGTTTATTAAGTAAGAACTATTCATTGTTGTATTTTTGAGATGATCATATTGCTAGAGTATGGATTTTATAGATTGTTTTAATAAAATATCTGGTAAAATATTCTACTAAAAACTAATTCTCTTTTTATTGTAAGATATGGAATAGGTTGTAAATATTAGTATAGTTAAAGTATAATAATATTTTAGATATATGTTATTTAGCTAATAAATTAGCTAAATTGTTAAAAATATTGTTAATATGAGTCTAAACTTTACAGAAAGCTTCGTTGATTATATTTTTGAGTATATAAATAGGGATTGAGTACAGTTATCTGAAAATATGATATAGTTGTAGGGTGAATATATAGTTTAGATGATTAGTTAAAAGTTCAGTATATAATTTTTTGATGTATTTCAAAAGACTGATAGTTTTAGTATTAGTTAAGTCACTAGCGAAGATAGGTTTTTTAAAAATTGAAAATATTCTTCTTTCTTTTTATTGTTTAAGAATTGAATTAGAGGTAATATATCTGTTAAATGGAACAGTAATTGCTTGCAAGAAGAGAAGGCTAGCATGTTTAAACATTTCATAACTAATTTTAGAAAAGTCACATACTTTGTTATTAAGAAGTTGTGACAGAGTAGTGGAGACTTCTTCTAAAAAAAATTCATTGAGAGCACTATTATACTATGTAGTTTGGATATTAGTTTTTGGTCTGTATTTATTTTGTCATATAGAATTAAATATCTGTTAGTTATTATTTCTATAATCTGTCTATTTATCAAAATGTTGTTGGATATATAATTTAATCTCTTGTATATCTATAATAATATTATCTTCTGTTTTAATATTGTCAAATTTAACTAAATCTTTATAATGATTTAGTATACTGTTAATTATAGATTTGAAATTAGATAAGAGCTTGTTACATCTTTTGGAGATATTATCATTAATTTGTTGTTATATTTCTTTAATATTTTTAATATTACAAGCATGATATAATGTTTTCTATTCATTATTACAAGTATTTAGCCAGTTTACAAAAAGAGTATATTCACTAGATATATATAGAATATTTAGTTAGTGAGTATTATTAATTTGGTTAATAGTAGAATTATATTAAATAGATATAGATAGTTTGTTTTTGAGTAATGCTTTAACTTAACAAATAATATTACCAAGCTTTTTAAGATGTTGATATAATAATGATACTTTGGATAAATATATATGTTGAAAGTTTCATACTGCAAATTTTTTATTAAGAATATGTTGTAAAGTAGTATTGATAATACTAGTTTGTATTTTGTGCCAAGTGTATTTAAAGGTCTCTGAAGTATCTATAGATAGTAGGGTCTTGTTAACTCTGAGATTAGAAAAGATTTAGGCTAAATATATTTACTATTATTTATTGTTTATATTCTTGTAAAGAAATATTTTTCTTCAAGTTTTGTTATCCTATATTTGCTTGTAAAGGCATAAAGAAAAGTCTATAAAGAAATTAAAATTTTGTAGTTACTTTTAGTACTAGTGTTAAGATCATCTATATTGAATGAGGTTAGATAGTGAAGAATTGAATGGTTGGCTTAAATATAATCAATAGTGCTATGAGATCTGTTACTTTGCTATATGCTAGTTGATGATTAAGTATAAGTAACCAAATTGTATATATTGTTATATTGAAGATATTGAAATAGTTTATACCTAATTGAAAGAGAGTATGAATTGTCTTCCGAAACATTAAAATCTTCTAAGACAATAGCATATTTTAGAATAATAAGAATTTTGTGAATATGAGATTTGATCTAAATGTTAATCATAATAATTGTACAGCTTTGAAACTATTAGTATAAGATCAGAAGTAAGTAAAATATTTAGATTTTTGTAGTTTGATGATAGGATTTGTGTTGACTATTTTAATTTCAGTAATACTAATAATATTTAAATTATTGAAAAAACAGAAGTTTTCCTAAACTTGTTGCTTAAAGTCAATATTATATCCTTATATATTGTGTATACATATGGATAAGTTAAGCACTTGGTTAGATTCAGAATTGCTTAAGTGGATATTAGTAATTTGATTTGAATTAGAGATTGTTCTAGAGAAAGTAGAAAAGATAGAAGCAAAAATAGGTATATTGAATTATAATTTTAAAAAAATATCATAAGAATCATATATAGATAAAATATAGTGATTAGAAAGTATTTCAGATTCATGAAATAAGTATATATATGCTTCTGTTTTATCACTATTAATAGTGATAAGGATATAACTTACAAGGTACTTAGTATTGTTTTGTTTTAGATATTGTAGAAAAGAGTTAATAGTTTGTAATTCTCTTAGTAAAAGAAGTTGGTAGTAGATGAGAAATTTGTTATAATATATTTTCAAGTCATAGGAGTTTAATAATATTGGTAATGACTTAGATAAAAGTTCTTTTGAAAATTTGCTTGCTATTTTAAGCTTAGTTCTCACAGTTGTGAAGGATTCCATAGTCTGCTATATATGTTTGGTCTGACTGTCATTATCTTAGTCTTCTACATTTTAATATAAAATTTAAAAATTAGTATATATGAATATATTAAAATAATATTTCATCCTCTTTATAGTCTAGGCCTGATACCATATAATTTTATTTATTTTTAAAAATTAAAAAAATTAGCTAGTCAATATTTTAAACAAATTGAAATCTTGCAAGAGTTATAAAATTAATTACTAATAGCATTAATGTAGATAAATATAACAAATATTTTTAAAATTAGCAAACCTAATATTACAAGTAAACTGTAGCCTTTTTAATATAGCACAAGTAACAAAATATATAGTTATAGAGCTCTGTTGCGAGATTATAATAGTGTGAAAGTAGAATATAACTTCACTAAGAGCAGTTCGTAAAAGTATATAGTTTAAAGAAAGATATATTTTTATTTACAGTATAAGACTTTAATTACAAGAGAGAATATTCCTATAACTAAAGGGTGTTTATATTTAGAGAGGATATCTGAATCTTCTCTAGCAGAAAGGAGAAAAACCAGGATTTATATATCTTTTTCCTAAACTAATAAAACTAATAAAAATAATAAGAAATAATAGAAATGGTGAAAATAGTAGAAATAGTAAAAATGATAGAAATAGTAGAATGATAAAAATAGTAAAAATAGTAGAAATAGTAGAAATAGTAGAAATAGTAAAAATGGTAACTATTCTCTCTATTTCTAATGCTATACAAAACTATTTAATAATATTATATGATGATATAATAATACAACAATAGAATATAATATAATATAATAATAATACTAATAATAATACTAATAATAATAATAATAAATTTAAAAAACTCATTTTATAATACAGTACTAGCTTAAAACTTGTATAAATTTTCAAGAAGAGTTTATTAAAAAAATACACCAATTTGTTTTTTAAATATATTATTAACTTTTTAAAATAAATACTTACTAACAAGACTTATAATCCAATCCATGTAATTCATTATTTTAGTAAATTAATTGATGTTGTTAATGGTAAAGTTTAGATCATCTATGAAATTAGTTCTAGGCAATGCATAAATCATGCTAAGAACTGCTTCAATTTGTTATAGTTTAGATATAAAAAGACCTTTTACAAGATTTCCTAGTACCCAGACTGCCTTTATTCGCTTCTAATATGGCAAAAAAAAATATAGATTAATTAATCTTCCAAGTAATCTTGCTAATTCTAATTTCAAATTCTTTGAACAGATCCCAAACCATTTTCAATATCTTTCCAGAGACAATTATAAAATTAACAAAATGTTCCTCGATAAAATTGAGTTTATCATCCAACCAGTTTTAAAAGAATCTGATATCTGAAATAATATTATAAATAGGCCGAAGCGATTCCCGAATTTTTCCAATAATAATTTTATGTAGAATAGCAAAAGTAGACTCTTCTAATTCTTCGGGTGATATTGACCAATGTGGTAGTTCAGAAACCTGTTTAATGATTGGCTCTTTTTTCTTTTAGAACTTCTAGTTATTCTTCTAGAACCTCTATTGCCACTTCTAATCATTGTTTCTCTAGGTCTGGATTTATATATTCTTGTTCGGTGGCATAAGAATATAGTTTATCGGCTAATCTCACCCGTAGGTTTTCAGGAAATATATCAGGACTGCGCAGATATATCCAAATTAAAAAGACTAAATTATTGATAATATTCTCCGGATTATTTTGGACGAAGATGTTTAAGATGTTTAATTTGCCTAGTTCTTCGGGCAGGGGTTCAAAATGCTCAATAGTATCCAGATTTTGTGTGCGCAAATTGGATATATTTGAAGGAGTGTCTGGCAACTTGGGGAAATCGGATATTGAGTGACAAAATGAATGTGTTGCTTTAATTAAAGTACTAATAAACTTATGTGTTTAAGATATTTCTTGAAACAATTATAGAATGCGGACCCATGTTTGGTATTATATCGCAAACAGCTCTCTAATAGTTCACTTACCTTTATTTCATCTAAGTTATCGGGATAAAACAGGTTGATATTACCAGCTTTATTTTCAACCTTTTCAGTTCCATTTCATCTTCGAAACAATAACCAACCGGGTATGTTTCATCACCATGACGCTCGCCTGCAGATTTTTGATAATACTTGAATGCCTTCTTTTCGTTGGATCCTTCAGGCTTGTCATTTATTTTCGTTCTTTTATATTCGAATTGCCTTGACTAACGTTCATTATTTCTTTAGCTCTCAACTTACCTCCTTTAACGCCAACACTATTTCTTCGATTAATGCTTTCATATCTCTTGGCGTCACCGTTCTTCCCATCCACAAACCTAAAAAGCCTTATGTCGTCTGTCTTACCACCCATATTAATAACATTCTTTATTTTCACCCATTTATTCCTTTTATTAACGTTTACTTCTCTATTTTTAAGTACTTTCACACTACGTTCTAAACACTCATGCTTCATTTGATCCGGACAATAGCGAGCTAAATTCCCTTCACGTCACACGTGTAGCACAGTAAAAGCCTATAACGAGTCCGTTTCGTCTGCACCATCCTCAAACCTTTCACGACTTTGATCACCATTTTCAAACTTTCCCAACCAACGATACCAGATGATCATTCCTTTCCATTCTTCTTCGTTTCACTCAGTTATGTACCGTAGTGCACTGATCAAAAGACCGGGGTCTAATATAAAATACCCAACAAAAAAAACTTACAAAAGATCCGGGTATATTATACAAGAGTGGGTCTGTGTCGCAAGAAGGAAAATTTTCGTTTATATACATACTTCGCATTTATGATAAGCAGTCTAGAAATTTAAAAAAAATCATGTTTAATTGAGGGAGATCTCGTGTATTTTGCATGGGGGATATTGAAAAAAAGGGGTGCCGTAAATCCGCGAAATAACGCACATCTGCGCGTTATTTTGAACACCTGCGCGTTATTTCGGGTACTCCCATGTGCGTTATTTCGAAATAAGGTTAAATATTCTGAGCTGTGTCATATATTTGCTTATGTGTAGGGATGTTAATAGTCTATTTTAGTATATAAGATGCGCGCTATTTCGGGACGCGCATGGGCGTTATTTTGAAACTAGGTATACTATTTTTAGAGGATACGATTTTCGAAATAACGTCCATGCTCGTTATTTCGCGGATTTACGGTACTTTGTCAGTGCACTACGTTTACTATTTTTGTTTAACGTGCTTGCATATTTATTAAACTTTCGCTAACAATGTCCTTTCTTCTTTCGCTCTCTTGAAATTACGCACAACACCGTTTGCCCAGGTCTTTGTATCGTATAGTTTATTCGACTATACGCGTTATTCAACGATTTACTTTGGTATTACACTCACTTGGTTACCACGTAGACCAGTGTATCATACCGGGCGCTTCCACCTTTGGAGGTCGCAATAAACACAGTTTATAATAAAAAAATGTATTTTCCCAATACAAGTGTTCGTGCGTACTAAGAGATACTAGTCTCGTGCAAGTTCTCTAAAGGATCGATGCACTTTATTTATTAGATTATTCCCGGATATAATATTACACATATTAGACTATATATTAATTAATGTGCAAAATCCCTAATCATGCCACTTATGTAACCCGATCTACGGCACCACAAAATCCAAGTGCAAAGCTGAGAATATTAACCTTAAGGTGGAGCTAGAGGAAAATAAAAATGATATCACTAATCTTTCAGATAGCTTAAGCTGAAGTAGACACGATATTGAGGAACTTAAATAATAAATCAAAAAATTATTGCTAACTTACAGGATGAACTTCTGTTGAAGATATTCAATTATTATTTTACTGTCTATTTTGAGACTAAAAATTTAAGCAAATTTGGTTAATACATTCAGAGATTGAAGATACAGTTAATAATGAAACTATCTCAAATATACTAAAAACCGGTCCCAGAACTTAATTTTAGATATATACTAAGATAAAGCTTATAATACTTTATTTTTCTCTTATTTATTTTATCTTATCCAAGCTTTTATCCTTGATGATTATATTTTACATATAATTTTTGCTCAATTTGACCAAAAATAAAGTTTTAAATTACATTGTGTGATATTAAACGGAAACAGATATTAATCTAGTATAACAATTACGCACCATACGCATTTAGGTATACCACTCAAAAAACTTTGTCAATACGGGTTTATCGCCAGTGACGATATCACCGGGGGTATTACAAATCTCAAACCCAAAAATACAATTGCTCTTTACAAAAAATTAAATCAAAAAAATGATCTTGATATTTTGCAAATATACTGTATGATACATAGCTATGAAAACATATACAGTCGACTCTGGGTATAACGAACCTTCCTATAACGAACTTTGGATATAATGAACTAAATTTCATAATAGTTCGGAATAAAAAGGTGGCATGGGTTCTTAAGAAAACATAGTAATTTTATATAACGAACTTTTTTTTCTTCCAGAATCTTCAGTTCGTTATAGAAAGAGTTGACGGTATCATCCATTTAAATAAAATTATTAATAAAGTTTTTGAGATATTAGTTTGGCCAGAGCTTGGGATTTGGGCGACAAGTATAATCAGGGGTACTAAGTAAAAATGTTCAGAACTTCTATATCTAACCCTAACCTTGGTCTGAAATCAGTGATGGCAATTTGACAACATTATTGAGTTGAATGTCATAATGTGCCATATAAAAGATCCCCCTATATATCAGATCCCCCATGAATTAGACCCGGGTCTATAATATAGGATAAAATTTTGATAAAATGTAAGAGACAAATAGGAAAATACTAAGAGAAATAGAATAAACCCCAATTATCATACCCACACCCATACAAAAGACCCCCGGGTCTAAATCTAGGTTTGAAAATTGGTGGAATGTAACAGACCCGGGTCGTTTATATGGCACATTACGGTATTGATATGATTTTATTATGTTTTATAAAATTTTATGTCATTTGTCGTAAAAAAGTCATATTTGTTATTTTGCCAACACTGTTCCCTAACCTAAATTTTGATAAAAGAAAGGTGGTATTGTCACCGGCGGTAAATACTAAAATTGTTATAAATATTGTAATTTTCCCTGTTTTAATTTATAACTATGTTTACCATGACTAAATTTCTAACAGTGAAGATTTTACGTAGCAGTTAAATACTTAAAATGTACCAATCATTTTACAGTAGCAGGTAGATCATGTGGGCGAAATCAAGTACGTACTACCTGCTAACGTGTATAACTGATAAAATAATTTAGTGCGTAGAAAAACCATCTAGTTATTATGGCACGCAGATACGACGCACGAACGACTATTTTTTCTCCCGAAGGTGAGTTTGAACATTAAATACCATGAAATTAGTGATTGTACTCGGGTAAACATTATTAATAAATTACCCGGATAGCAGGGTAATTTAATAATACCTAGGTAGAAAATTTCTTGACGGGTACAATCTCTACAGAAATAATTAAACTATTATTGACTCGATATTTAATAGGTCGGCTTTATCAAGTCGAATATGCCATGGAAGCAATATCCCATGCTGGTACCGCGTTGGGTATCCTAGCATCGGATGGCATTGTGATAGCTGCCGAAAAGAAAGTGACTTCTAAATTACTTGAACAAACCACCACAAGTGAAAAAATTTACTTATTAAACGAGTATAAATTCTTAACCTCTCATTACGGTTCGTTTAATTAAATTTGCACCGTTACCTGAAGGCTAATTGACATTGATTTGAATGATTTGAAATTCGATCACAGTAACGTTATTTGTGGTGTCGCGGGAATCACAGCCGATGCAAATTACCTTATAAACTACTCTCGTCGAGCCGCTCAAGAATATTTATATACTTATGGAGAAGACATCCCTGTTGAACAGTTGGTACAAAGATTGTGTGATTTAAAACAAGGATATACACAATACGGAGGTAATAAC